TTATCGAGCAAATCCAATCCCAAAAGAAAAGGTACATTCGCTCTAACTACGTCAACCTCAATTGGCACAAACCCGTTCTTGAGAAACGGTAATCGAATTGAGATTGATCCGATTGACTTCTGCACATCAACACCGAATCTGTACTGGTTGAAGGTCGCTTTTAGTTTGAACTTACATCCAACAAATCTGCAGTATGCTTTGGCTTGTTGTAGTCCGATAACAGTGCGTTGTGCTCCAGTGTCGATGCAGGCTCCCTGCCAGTCTTTCCTGCGTTCATCCAAATTGAATCTCATCTGTGAAAGACCTCGACGAGAGTTTAACACAGAATTGGTCATTGCATCGCTGGAGGATTTTCTGAGATGCCGGTTTCTTCGTATGTCATGGGCTGTCCTTGACCTACGCGAGATTTTGTATCGGAACCGTTTTTTCTTGAGGACAGTCTCGTAGCAAGGTTTATTTTCTTTCGACTTCAAACTACGACGGTAAACTAGACTGCCTCTCCTCAAAAATCCTCTGGATCAAGGACTGAAGCAATGCCCCGATTCTCAGAACCAGTAACGTGGAATACCTGTCCTCCTTTATCGGGATGTTCATGCGTCTCATCCTCAGATGAGGTGGAGTCCTCCTGCTTGAGGTTGTTCCTGTAAGGGTAGCAGAAGGATCTTCTTCGTCTGTAGAGAACAACGCATCCTCCACTTGTTGACAGAGTTCGAAGAGGATTTGATGGCTTCTCTTCGGATATCTCCTGACTTGCGATGAGATATTTCGCATCACGTTGCGAGGTTTGGGGCAGTCCCTGATGAAATGATTGGGATCCTGACAATTGTTGCATAGCCTGGGGTTGCCATAACGGTCTAAACCATTTTGACCGGCTTTTGTGCTGTCTTGAGGGGCCCTGAATGGGGCAGATGAGCGTGATCCTGGTTTCTTCGGTCGTCCGTAATATTTCTGACCTTCGTAGTAAAGATCAGGAGTATATTTGGATGAAAATTTTATCTCTTTATGTAGGGAAGATTGACCGATGTTCAGATCTTTTTTCTACCTTCTTGCTCTTCCTGGTCTTCAGGCCAGGCGGCGTCGAGTGCCATATACAAATGTTGAAAATCCCAAGGATTAGATGTGGACTGCGAGTTCGCAAGGGCTGACTTGGCCCACGGGGCACCAACGACAGCCTTGTAAAGGTATTCCACCTTGTCTTCCTCGGAACAGTGAGTCCGTGGTCCTTGAGGAGCAAAACGTGTGATGATCTCAACTCTTCCAAAGCTTCTCCGGTGTTGAGCTTCTTGGCATGCATCAAAGATTGAATTCTCAGGCTCTGGAGGTACTTCCTGATTCTGTCCTGCCGAGTTATGCTGTTGTATTCGTCTTGCATAACTTGGCATGCCTGACCAAAATTTCCGCACCTGTCCCTCACCTTCTCTCGATAGAATCTCTTAGCTTCTCCATCGAATATGTTGTGGAAAAAAGCAAGTTTGTTGGTTTGGTCAAGGTTGTAGTCCTGGGCGGCATCAATGTAGTTATTGATGTGTTCCGTGAGGTCCTCACCCAGTTTTCCCGTGAATTTATCCTGGTTCTTGAATCGCAATGCCATGTTGTGAGCGGCTCTTGCTTCGGAGTCACGTCTCACAGGTGGGTAACCTTGTACTGGTGGGCCGGCTTGACGTTCAATTTCCTTGTTAGTAGGCATACATGCTGGACTACTTTTCTTGTGTTGAACAAGCCTTTCGTAAGCAAAATCGATGTCGTCCAAGTCTGAGTATAACATTTTTACTAATCCCCATGAGATGCGGTCAGTTGCGGGATGTCTGATATACTCTACACCTTCTGCACGTAAGAAGTCACGGATGATTCTGAAAACGAACGTGGTGCCCTTCCGTACTTCGAAAGAATATAGAGTTTCAACAGGGAGGTCGTCACGTAATCTTTCTACCAGTTCTGTGTCCAAAATATTTTCAGATTTTGCGCGAGTAATGTGTAGCGTAATAACTGATATAATATCATTGTGAACTGGAGATGGTGGTGTATACGTTTCAAGTTCCTTGGTGATGGCCTCTGTAGCTGCCTCGTCAATTCCGTTATCCATAGTGTTTGGTGAGTTAAAGTCTCCAGAAAGTAATTTAGTAAGTTACTTTAGCCTTAGGAAAAATAAGCTTTCTGCAACCTTACAATTATACTGAAATTTTGACTTTTTTTATGGCTCACACTAATTCAAGCTGAATACGGGTACAGGTGTGCAACGCTCACAGCTAGTACAGTAGTAAACACGTGTGCAATTTTCACACCTAGTGCAATGTGTGACACGTATCCGATTTTTGGGTTTGTGTCAACCGTGTAATACGTTTTGGGTAGCAATTTATGAGAGAGGCAACCAATTGAAAAATGGTCGCTAGATGGTGCCAGAATAATTCGAAAAAATGTTTCAAGAAATATGGCATCAAATTTAAGAAAGGATTTCAAAACTGTTTAAAAATTTTTTTTTGCTATTTTTTTAAACTTGACGTGTTAGTTCACGCTCGCGCAAAAATTGGGCGCGGCGGCGGTGAGAGGCGCCGATGAGGTGCGCGTCGAGGTCGTGCGCGGAGGGGTAAAAGCGCTCGCAGATGTCGCAGAAGAAGTCCTGGGACTCGCGTTGATACCGGGCCTCGCGTGCGCGGTGTTTCTTGCCGCCCCAGTGTTGCCGGAGTTGGTGCCTGCCAGTGAGGGTCACTTTGCACACGTCGCAAGTGAGCGAGTTTTTTTCTGATCCGCGCGGTGGCCACTCGATGCAGTGTTCTACTCACGCCTTCAGGTAGAATCCTCAAATTATGTTTTGCTACTGTAGTCCGAGTCATAATTCGGTTGAAAACCCGAGACGCGTTGTCCTCGTGTCCAGATTGGTCGGCGTGTAAATTGGATACACGTGTTGATTTCCCGTAACGCTTGTCTTCGGGGCGGGGTTGGTCCGCCGGGGTCGCCTCCTGTTCGATGAGGTCCAAAACGCTGATAGAGCCCCCACCGTCGCTGTCCCAGTTCACCACAAGCGTGCGGGGTCGAGACCGTGCGCCTGGCTGGGACAAATCTTCTGCCTGCTTTGCGGGGGCTTGCCGTGACCCAAAGTCTTCGTCTCCTTTGGGTTTGAGTACCACTAAAATAGAAATTAGTTAGGCAACTAGATTCCTATTTTAGAGGTAGTGAAAAAATAAAGAACTTACTCTTTTACTATTTTCGGTGAGAGTTATCCAAAAGAGGAAGACGGCTTTATTTCTTTCTTGATAAAACGTACTGCGTTAATATCAAGAAAGAGATAGGAAGACCACTCTCTGAAAAAATCCACAACTTGAAAAACTTGAGGTTGAATTGATTTCTTGAGGTTGAATTGATTTCTCTTGAAAAACTTGAGGTTGAATTGATTTCTTTCCTGAAGAAACTAACTTGGCTTGCAGTCTAGACTGTGACGAAAATTAGAAAGAAAAGAAAGGAGGTGAGCAGTAAAAAATTCAGCGGCAGGACCGGGCGAGCTGAGGGTCGCGTTCCTTTTACTGCGTTGGTTCTTTTTCTTCCTTTCTGTGTCCGGGCAGCTATTCTGCCGTTCACTTCGGGGTATTTATACTACTACCTACGCGTCTATTCTCTTGCCAACAGACTCTCCTCTTTGCAAACCTTTGCTGATAATCTCAAAGGATTGCATTATCAGTAATGTCGTTGGGAGAGATGCACTGTAGGTTGACGTCTGAAATAATCAAATACTACCGTTTTCAGTGCGGTTTAATTATTTAGATGTATTTTGTCGAACTGTATACGTCACCGTCGACTCCCAAATTTCCACACACATGGCTGGTAATTTGCGGTAAAATGGAACGTGATGCCCTGAATTCTAAAATTGGATCGCCAGGGCGCGTGCTGTACTCCAACGGCTTTTCATAGAAACGCTCATCAATGTAGATAGTTATATCATAAGTTCTTGTCCATCAAAAAATTATTAAAACTTTAGACCCAAGCAGTATTGTGCCCTGTCGCAGTCCCGCACACATCGAGAGGGCACAGTATCATCCCCCGCCCGAAACATGAATCACTGCTGGGTTTCGGGCTGGGGATGATACCGTACAGTACTGTGCCCTGTCGCAGTCCCGCACACATCTTCCTCTCTTTGCGCTCCCCGCGTCCCACAGCTCAGCGAGAGCACAACAGTCAACACCGCCAGACACTGGGCCTACAGTACCCTTACCCAACGGTACCGTACATCTCTCGAGACGCCTCCGTGTCGCCTTCCTCCGCCGCATCTTTCGTAACGGCGACGCCATTGCATCTCGACATTTCCACGCGCCCGCATCCCGATCTCCGCCGGCCCCCACTGCGCGCCGGCTCTCTTTTACTGCTTCGACGACAACTTATTTCGCGCCTGCGCAGTCGTCCATCTGCGCTCTCATGCGCCGCCCACTGTCAGCGGGAGCTCGCTCGCTCCCCCTTCCGCGGCGTTTGATGAATGAGTACAGCCATGCCTTCTACTGTGTTAAGGTTCGTCCGCTTCCCAGGGCGCCGAGACGGGCTCATGGCCCACTTACTGCATCGTACCTGCGGGTGAACTCCCACAGCGAGGCGGGCTATGGAGTTTAGCGGACGGTTTCCGTGGTGGTTCTCCTTCTGCCTTGTCGAAGCTTCGAGAACCCACGTGGCTCGTGCGTTGAAAGTTTCAACTTGAAACACCTCGGCGTGCAGTGTCCCTCACACAGTGTTAATCAAATGGACCTGATAAGGCGTTGGAATCAAAACCCTACAACTTTTCCACCACCCGTCCCCCTTCTAGATGGAACCAGGTGATTTTTGTTTTGGTGGCGCGTTGGCCGAGCGTCGAGCGTCGAACTTGGTTTCTACCTCACATGCGCCGCACACCACATCATCTCCCGCACAGAGCCCCTCTCGCCATCTGCCTTGCGATTTGCGCTTTCCCCGCATCTATTTCGAAACCGTAATGCCTCGCCCACTGTCTCCGCCCCCCCCCCCCCCCCCCCATCGCCCTAGCCATGACGTCGTACGGTTCCTCCGGCGGCGTAGAGTTCGCGCTGAACAAGCGCCACATGCCGCGATCGCAGGTCGAGGCCGTCCCGATCGATGACGTGGATATCTCCGATGACGACTCGTCCTCGATCAACCCGTCGTCGCTGCGCGCCAACTTCCTTCCGCCAAACCTCGACCTCCCCGCGCTCGACCCGACCACCATCGACCGCTACGGCTCGCTGCACGACAGCTCCCCCTTCTTCTCGCCCGTCTTCGCACACCTCCCGTCCATCCGCCCGGACAAGCTGCACGTCGCTTCGGAAGACGCCCAGACCCTGCGCCGCAAGCTCATGCGCGACTCAAACATCCTCATCATACAGGGCGGCTATTCGGGGAAGACGTTCATCTACGAGCGTCTGCGCGACCTTGGCGTCAATCTTTACATCCTGGACGGGCCGGACTCGGTATGGAAGAAGGCTGCGGAGGACGGCCTCATAGTCGACTTCATCGAGCTCGACTTCACCGACAACGACACTATCTTCCCGCGCGCCATGGACGCCATCGTGGACGCCGGCCTGGACGTCCAATTCGACGCCGTCACCACGTACTATGAGGACGCCGTCGCCCTCGCCGCACGCATTGGCACTGCTATGGGGCTCACCGTCAACGACGTCGAAGCGTGCGACCGAGCGCGCAACAAGCGCCGCACAAGGGAAGTCATGGCCGTCGCAGGCTTGCCTGTACCGCTCTTTCAAAAGGTTCTCGGCGAGGAGGATATCCCGCGTGCTTGCGAGCATGTTGGGTTTCCACTCATTTTGAAGCCGGTCTATGGCGCCGCTTCTATGGGCGTGACAAAAGCGCATAGTACCGAAGAAGCTGTCGGCGCCTATCGCAAGCTCTTTAAGACGTTCGATGTCAAAGAGGATACCATCTGGGCGCAGGGCACCGAGATGGTTATTGAAGAATTTTATGATGGTGATGAATTTGATATTGATATCTTGCTCTCTGACGGCATCGCGGTCTATGCCAAGGTGTCGGACAACTGGGCCTGCTGCGACCCGTGGTTTCAGGAGACCGGCACCAATTGCCCCTCGCTGTATCCTCAGGATAAGCAGAACGAGCTGATCAAGCTGGCTGTTGACTCCACGCTGTCGTTAGGGTTTAAGTATGGTTCCTTCCACGTCGAGTGCAAGTACACCTCTCGAGGGCCGCGTATGATTGAGGTGAACGCACGAATGGGAGGAGTCTCAGTACGTGATGCCAATTTAATCGCATGGGGAGTGGACCTCGTGGAGGAACATGCCATGGCCATGCTCAAAATCCCAATCCGGCCACTCTTTGAAAAGCCACTAAAGTACTTCGCCGAGTCGGCCATCAATGCGCCCTACTCGGGCACCATTAACACCGACAACTGGTTAGATTTTGCTCTTGAAAACCCCTTGGTCCATAAGATTAGCTACTTTAAACACAAAGGGGATGTTGTGGTTGGGCCGAAGGACAGTGTGCCCGATTGGATGGCGGAGATCATCGTTGTCAGCGAGGAAAACCAGGAAGAAGCTATCAAACTCATTCGCTCAGTGATGAAGAAGGCCGAAGTCCCGATTACTGCCAAGGAGTTCGAAACCGAACGGGCCTTTTTCTTCCCAGACTATGCGCATCCATTTTGCTAAGTCTTGACCCGTTCATACGGTATGTACGATCGACTGCTGCAGCTTTCTTTTGGTACGTTTTTTAACAGGCCAACATGGTGATTAGTCGATGCCCTCTCCCCTAACACATACACCACGTTTCAAAAAACATTTACCAGCCATTACTCGGTATGAAAAACTCATGACGTCAAAACTCTGCGCTTTTTCCCAACTGTCCACACCCTCCGGCTGGGGCATGCGGTTGCCTCTTGACATGATAAATAAACACATATCGATGACACCCTCAACATGTTTTCTTCTATTGCTCCCAGCACATCTCCGACCGCGTCACGATTCTTGGCAGTCTTCGAAGCTTGGGGAGATCAATTTGTCAAGCCCTCCCGCTGCGAAGACACTCTTCCTTAACTCCAAATCCACGGCGGGCCATTTGAGCAAGAGCTTGTCCACGGGCTTGGGGCCTGTATCAATGACATGCACGCAGTACAGCCATTTTCGACCCTCGTGCTGTACAAACCCTCCTGTTTTGTCATCGCGTCCAGCCTTTCCCTGCCTGATTTCCGCCTTGTCTTCGCGGCACATGGATATCATGAAAGAGCAGTCTTTCGCCGCCGCCGCTTGCATGAACTCCGCTAGCATCCTCGCGCATACATTCGGTTTCATACGCGCCACCTCCTCGGTTGCATGGAAGTACCCCTCATGCGAATGCAGCCGGTCCGCTTCCTCCGCCGTCTCGTAACTGATGATCTGCTTCGACGCGCGAAACTCACTCTCATCCTCCGCAGTCCACTTTTCAGCCCCGCGCATGAACTCGTATTGTTCTATCATCTCGTAAGCCCGTGCCACCCCGACCATACTGATCAGATGTTTCAGCAGCAACCCGGCCCCGATATTGTCAAGGTAGTCATGGCGCTGCACGGCGAGCAGCTTTCTAAAGCAATGTTCTCCGTCGCGTGACTCGTCGGCGACAGCTTTAGCGGTTATGCCAAGCGCTAGAGTACACAAACCATCGTTGCAGGCGCACGTGGCATCTTCGTGCGATAGGCGCGCGCCGCGGTTGAAGATGCGAAGGCTTCGAGACCTTTCCTCGTGCAAAATCTTCAGCTGCAATTCAATGTCGATACCGAGCAGCATTTTTAAAGGATCATAGCGATGCTCCTGGTCTGGAAAGTCCATAGCTTCGCGACCGCAACTCGGAAACAAGTAGTTTGTGAAGTAGTAGGGCGGAATTTTGAATTTTTGAAGCGCATCATTAATGTCGGGATGGACGAGCGCGGAGCGGGACAGCACGCCACACTTGGGTTTGATCTCCACGAGCAGCGTCTCTCCTCCAAACCACAACGCAAGGTCAGGAAGCAGTTTCGCTAACGGCGATGCGGTTCCGAAATTCTTCACCTTTCGACGTGCAATTGGGCGTAAAGGCTCTGTCGCGGTAGCCAGTTGCTTGACATACGACTCTGAAAGGGTTACATAAACCGGCTCTAACAAGTAGCGACGTAGGTGCCGGCGAAACAGGGCTTGGTGTGCTGGACGCTTGTGATGCTTGGGTGGTGCGCGGTGAGCTCGAGCAGACATAATGGTGATACATAAAACCTGACGGGCCTGTCCATGCAACTTTTCGCATCGCTTCGGGGAATAGCAAAACACCACCGTTTCCCCACCTTCGATGCGGTACTGCCACGCAGATGGAGGAGGAAGACTTGGGCGCGTTGGATCGCAAGCAGTCGCCTTCATGTCTTGCTGTTGAGAAAGAGAAAGGTGGAAACGTCCAGCAAGAAGCAACGTAAAAGCAGATGAGAGATTTGCAGCTGAGAAATAGATTCGGGAAGAGGTTCTGGTGTTCTCATAAACCAAAGATATGCTTTCCAAAGCAAACTTGTCCTGACGTTGTCCAAAGGTGGGTAACAATGAAAGCGTTCCACAATTATCGTATGACTGTCGTATGCTCATGGGGCACAGATGTCACCGAAAAACTGTAGTCGACTGGAGCGGCATGTTATTCGTGAAATTCGGTCTGCCGCCCATACGAGGCAAAACGTTGAAAATTATGAGTGATTCTTTGCCGTCTCGCCTGTGAAATCAGAGCCTGGGGTGTACCGAAGGCTTCACCTTTACCCTTTTCAAGACAAGCTGAAGTTCGGCGGGATATTGCCATAGAATGTCGCTCGTCCACTGCCAGGAGCATCTCCCTGTGGTAGGTCGTGCAGTATCGAAAGCAGCACATTCAATCGCAATCCCGGCGGCGCTCGAGTCAACGCGCCACAGAGGACGCCCAGAACCAATAGTGCGCATGCATATTTTGCTACGTGTGTCCATCTCTTTCGTCACGAAAATCTGCCTTCCACTCGAGCACGACAGTTGTGGAATATCTAGACGGAACCAGACGCTTTCCGACATTCAACCACTCGGGACGATCCGTGGCGGCAATTCGTCCACGACGAACATTCCGGATATCCCCTCCGTCTCTGCAGCAAACGCCAGGAACCGTCTCCAGGTCTGCAGATAGTGAGGCACACTGATGCTCCGTACCCAGTCATTCTCGACGTGATTCAGATGTGTCAAAAACGCCGCAGGCAGTAAAAATAGTCTCCATCCCCCATACTCAGCACCGAATGCCCAGGAAATCTTGTTGAACCCGTACCCACTGAAGCGCTCGTCATACGCCGGATATTTGTCCCGCCGCACAATTCCATACGGCTCGTAATCCGTTAGCGCGCGAACCTCCGTAGCATCTGTCTGCCGATACCATCTCTTGATCTTGTTGGCCCTTTGCGAGTTGAGGCAATAGCTGGTCCCTGCACGATTCTTCAACATATTCTGCAGCTCGTCCTTGTCCATCGAAGGGCGATGCTGCGCATCACTAATGAAGACCGGGACAGTCAGTACTCTCTTCTCGCTCTCTGGAAGCATTTCCTCCAACCAAGTATTGTTAGCATCGCGGAAGCAGCCAAAACTATTCGTCGCCGGCGTCATATGCTGGAAAGATCATGACAAACCGCGTCCCCGCCGCCTGCACGGCGACGTTCCGTAATGCATTAATCTCAAGCGGCTCCTGTCCCTCATCCTCCCCACCTCTTCGAACGAAGCTGACGTCTACATGACGCCGCAGCCACTCTTTGCGCATCCAGATGGCCCGAAACGCAGCCACATCGCTCTCACTCTCAACTGCCACAGCAGCGCTCACCGGTCCCCCTCCATATAGTCTCGACAGCGCCTCCAGCCTCAGGACTCGATCAGAAGTCAGCGGAATAGCCAGAGTCAACTGCCTTTCCCCGGGGCGCTCTTCGGCCTTTAGATGCACACGAACGTCCCTTCCTCCCCCACCTCCGCTCTCGTCCCGCTGTCCAATCTTGGCATCTCTGAAACAGGCCTGAAGCGCCTCTCTACTCCACTCCCCCTCTTCCTCGACCTTGACATCATCCACAAACAAATGGCCGCCTTCAAAATCATGCAAATGAAAAAACACATGCAGCATGCCGCCCCCCTTGATCGCTTCAGGCCTAGCACAGACCCTCCTCCACTCTGCCGCCCCCTCTTCCAACTGCACGACTAGCCCATCATCATTCCGCCCCCCACCCCTCCACGCCAGAACCATAGCCAACGCATCTCCTGCACTCTCCGGCTCCTCCTTCCTAAACCGTCCCATCCCTCTCTCCAACCTATACCACGCTGAGACCACAACCGCACCCTCCGGCACTTGGACCGCCTGGTGCACGCCATGAAACAGCGGATGCCCCCCGCCCCCCCACATAGTCCTGCCCTTCCCCAGTCTCAGGCAGCACCTCCCCCTGAACGGAAACGCGACCCCCCCTTCCCCGCCCGGCACGACCCCGCACACGCACCTTGCGGC